GATTTTAGGTGTGAAGTGATGTGTTTAACATTTTCGCCTTGAGATCACTAATTTGATTTTTTTATTGAGATCCTGAATACTTGATTATAAGATTTGAAGGACTGTGTTTAACGTTCCCATCTTGAGATCACTAATTTTAGGATTTATAAGATCTCAAATACTTAAGTATAAGGTGTGAAAGGATGTGTTTAATGTCACCGGCTTGAGATTATTAATTTGAGTCTTTATGAGATCTCAAATACTTAAGCATAAGGTGTGAAGGGATGTGTTTAATATCCCCGACTTGAGATTATTAATTCCAGGTTTTATGAGATATCAAATACTTAGGCATAAGGTGTGAAGGGATGTGTTTAATGTCCCCGACTTGAGATTATTAATTTGAGGTTTTATGAGATCTCAAATACTTAAGCATAAGGTGTGAAGGGATGTGTTTAATATCCCCGCCTTGAGATTAGTAATTTGAGGCTTTATGAGATCCCAAATACTTAAGCATAAGGTGTGAAGGGATGTGTTTAATATCTCTGCCTTGAGATTATTAATTTGAGGCTTTATGAGATCCCAAATATTTAAGCATAGGGTGTGAAATGATGTTTATAACGTCGCCTTAGGACATGAAAATCTAAAGATTCTTGTAAGGATAAATTCATGAAAAGATTGAGTTAAGGTGCAAAGGGACAAATATTGTCCATCTTAAGGCATGAAAATTTAGAGAACATTTTAAAGATAAATCCGTAAAAAGGTTAGCTTAAGGTGCGAAGGGACAATTTTATCCACCTTAAGAAATGAAAATTTAATAACTTGCATATATACTTGGAGGATTTGAAGACTTCTACTTGCATTGACCGAAGAATTTTGAAGACTTCAACTTTCATTTGGAGGATTTAAAGACTTCAACTTTCATTTGGAGGATTTAAAGACTTCAACTTGCCGACTTAGAGGATTTTAAGACTTCAACTCACATACTTGAAGCATTTGAAGAGTTCAACTTGCATATTTGGAGGATTTAAAGACTTTAACTTGCAGACTTGGAGGTTTTGAAGACTTCAACTTGCAGACTTGGAGTATTTGAAGACTTCAACTTGTCGACTTGAAGGATTTGAAGACTTCAACTTGTAGACTTGATGAATTTGAAGACTTCAACTTACAGACTAGAAGTATTTAAAGACTTCATCTTGCATACTTGAAGAATTTAAATACTTCTACTTGCATATTTGGAGGATTTATTGACTTGAACTTGAAGGCTTGGGAGTTTTGATGACTTCAACTTATAGACTTGGAGGATTTGAAGACTTCAACTTGCAGACTTGAAGGATTTGGAGACTTCAACTTGCATAATTGGAGGATTTGAAGACTTCAACTTGCATACTTAAAGGATTAGAAGACTCAACTTTCATACTTGGTTGAATTTGGAAACATCAACTGTTATTGGAAAAGTTCATGTTTTTTGGGGTCTGCCCCCATCGAGTCATCATCATTTTGTGCAAGTCTGAAGTTTGATGTGATATTACTTATAGCTTTAACTTTCATGTGGCAGATCAAGTGGAAACATGCAATTTTTTTATACTCATGCAACTGAGCCTAGAAGATGGTTCCAAGCATCTACGTACCTCAATAAAGATGATCAAGTCACAATGTAGTTCTGCGGATGTGACTCAAATTTGAGAACTTTGTAATTTGAAGATTAAATTGCAGTTTAGACTCATGCGATGATGAGCATTGGAATTTGCAGTTTATGCTCATGCAACTAGAAGCATTATAAATTGCAGTTTAGACTCATGCGATGATGAGCATTGGAATTTGTAGTTTATGCTCATGCGTTCAGGAGCACCGAGATATTAAAGATTCTTCAAAGTCATCTTTAGATGTAGACTTGCCCCCACTTTGGATTCCTCTAGATCTTCATCTTCGTAAGGTCCATAGATACGAGATCATTGATATCCTCTTATAGTCATGCTTAATTCCATTTCATGTCCATGAGTTGCTAACTTTGAATGTATTGGGTTTTAATCCTTGCAATATATAGTAAACACTCCAATGCATGCCTTGTATGCACATTTAAATGCTAGAAATTTCACTGAGGTGATCTTTGCAGTTGAGGCTCTAGCTTCTCCAACAATTGATAAAGTCAACAACTAGCTCGTCTTCACATTGGTGATCTTTGTTAGTTCAATCATACTAACGACACGTCTTGTGCTATAGAAAGATTGAGAAGTTCTTGCTCTAAGTGCTTCCAACAATCTATTGAACCAGGTTCGAGATTATTCGACACATGGCACTAAACTGCGCCTCTAGGATGAAATGACACTGAGCTTAACAAACTGGGATCATCTATTGTAGCCCAAATCAATTAATTTGGACTTCAATTAAATCCATATTTATTGGATTTTAAATAATTGACCTAATTATATTAATCCCATAACATTTATATGGATTAATATATTCATGAATTTAATATAATCCAAATCATTTTATATTATATTTAATGAATTTTAAATGATTACACATTCATCACAAATTTAAATTGTTTCCAAGTCACAAATTTTATATTTACTTCTTGTATTTCATTTTCTCTTCGTAATCATCAAAATTCCTAATTTTATATTCATTCATTTTATACACAGGTGACCCGTATTTGATGTGGTGGATTTGTTGTTGGATTCAGATTTAATCACACTATAATGGATGCTTATGGCTTCAAAATGTTTCTAAATGCATTAAGTGAATTAATTCAAGGAGCTTCTGCACCTTCTATTTTGCCAGTATGGCAGAGGGACCTTCTAAGTGCTAGGTCATTGCCATGCATTATATGCACACATAATGAGTTTGATGAGAATGTTGAGTCCAAAAATGCATGGATAGCTGTGGAAGACAAATTAATCCAACACTCGTTTTTCTTTGGAAATAAGGAGATTGAAGCCATTCAGGATCAATTAGAATCTGGTTATGGTTAAATTGGAAGATTTGAGTTACTAGTTGTGCTTCTATGGAAATATCGTACGATTGCACTTGATATAAATCCTGAAGAGAATGTTCGTTTGTCATACGCAGTTAGTGTACGCAAAGGACTGAGAAAAATGGAACTACCACTTGGATATTATGGCAATGCATTTGCAACTCCAGCAGCCATATCAAAAGCTGGATTGTTATGCTCAAATTCATTCACATATGCAGTTGAGTTGATTAAACAAGCTAAGAAATAGGTCAATGAAGAGTACATCAAATCCTTGGCAGATTACATGGTGATTAACGGGCGACGACCGTGGACCAAATCTTGGAATTTTCTCATATCAAATACTGCAATAATTGGTTTTGATGAAGTTGATTTTGGATGGGAAAAACCTATTTTGGGTGGTTTTGATAGAAGTCCTCTCTCTTTTGGCAGCTTTTTTTGGTCATTTAACAAGAACACAGGAGAGAAGAGTATTGTGATACCTATGGAATTGCCTCAACAAGCCATGGAAAGCTTTCAAGGTGTTATCAAGAATTTGACTAGTAAAAATGGAGAAAAGATCCAACTAAAATCAAACATTTAGGCTCTGAATTTGTATATGCCACAACCACACAAATATCTCAGGATTGTTTTAGACCAGAATTTTCAAAAGTCTTCCATTTTTTCTTAAATATTATGCCAAATCAAACCGTGTCCCATAAAATGGGACGAAGAGAGTATGTTACAAAAGAGATGAGCGTATCTGTTCCAAATAAGGTTTCTGTAAAATGTTATGATCAAGCGAATGTGGTATGTAGCTTGATGCATAATGTTGCCAGAAAAAGTTTTGGTGCCTTCATATTTATAAGTGCATCTATGTTTCCATAATTCCCAGCAAATCACAAAAGGAAGGCAATGAGAGTGGTCAATTCAGGCACTTTGCTGGTGGATTTAATACGCCACCATCTCATAAGTTTAGTACGAATGCTATCAGAATTAGGCCAGAGCAGTCCCAAAGTATATTGAAAAAAATTCAAACTTTCTCCGCTATTTGACCATAGCTAAACAGGTGGTTGATGTCCTCATTCATTCCATTGTGACAACAAATACATTTGGAAGGTCCTTGCACACCAAACCGAGATAATGAATCATCCGTAGCGAACTTATTGTTAAGGAGTCTCTAAGCATATGAAAGGAAATTTTCTATGCCAAATATTTTTAGAAGTCGGGGAGGAGCCATTAGATTGTGTAAGAGGATTCCAGGCAGATTTTGAGGAGAAAGAACATGTGTGTTCAGGTGTCCAGACAGCATGGTCTTGATTACCTGCAAAAATCTTGATAGTTAAAATGGGAGCAACTAAATCAGAAGATAAAATTTCATGAAGCTTACTAGTGTTCCAGTGATTAGAATTGATAAAGTCAGAGACTTCAGTATTCTTTGGATGAGTACTTTGGTCCACCAACATAAGTTGATTTTTTAAGGACTTAAATTTTGAATTTCCAGAAGAGCATGGCTTTATTCAAGAATCATTTTTTCATTAGCTAATAATAAATCTTTTAAAAGACAAGTGCCTTAGTTGTTATGCATTTAGTCATATAATTATCTTAAAGCAAGAGAGGTAGTGGACTAGTAGTTGAGAATTTAAAATTTAGGAGTTTGGTAACCAACAAACTAGTTCTTAAATTGTCTGAAAGTTTTCTCATTGGAAATGGAAAATTCCAAAAAGCAACAATTACTTTTCCCTTTTTACACTTTCAAAGAAGAATAGTTTATGGAATTATCAGAGCTTCACTACTTTTAAGTCTTTAAAATAAAATGCTATCATTTTGACCCCACTCTTCTTATTCTTAAGCCAAAATGCAGGGCTTATAAATCTCAGTGAATATACTACTTGGAACAAAACAACCAAATTCTCCATTGCATCTTTCATTTACACATCAAAACCTACATTATATTGCCGCTCTTTCAAGTTTCATTTTCACACCAAATTCACCAACGCATATCCTTTTTAAAATTTCACTTCATACTAATAAAACAAATAGCAGAGTTTAGACTTGAGAGATCATAGCTATGGATTTCCAATCTAAAGTTGGGTTTCTCATTTACTACAAGAGAAACATCAAATCTCTGGATAAAGAATCTGATAAGCTGGAGAATATCAAAAGTGGGGTGCAGCAAAGAGTGGAGGCTGCCCAGAGAAACTTACAAGTCATTGCTCCCAGTGTTGAGGCTTGGTTAACTAGTGTTGATACCACTATTGCAGATGTGGCTACTACATTGCGACGTAGAGCTGAGGTTGAAAGAGGTTGGTGTCCAAACTTGATGTCTTGTTACTTGCTGAGCAAGAGATCTAAGGAAATTGAACTGGATGTGATTGGTCTTCAAACTGAAAGCAACAATTATGTGGATTTTTCCTATCCTGCACCACCGCCTGCTGTTGAAAATGAAATTGTACATGGTGAGGAGTTTGACTCCAGAAAACAGAAGGAGGAAGAGGTCATGGAAGCTTTGAGAGATGAGGGGGTCACTATTATTGGGATATGTGGTATGCCTGGTGTTGGTAAGACAACACTGGCTGAGAAAATCAGAAAAAGGGAAAAACAAGAAAGGTTGTTTGATGATATTGTCATGCTAACTGTCAGTCAACAACCAGACTTGAAAAATATTCAGGGTGAGATTGCGAGAAGCATCGGTCTGACGTTAGAAGGGGACGATTTGTGGCAGCGTGGAGATGTGCTGTGTTCAAGGTTAATGGGTCAGGAAAGTGTCCTTATAATCCTGGATGATATTTGGGAGGCTCTTCATGATCTAGAGAAACTTGGAATTCCCAGCGGTAGCAACCACAACCATCGATGCAAAGTGACATTCACAACGCGTCGCCGAGATGTTTGTCAAGCTATGGAAGCTCATAAGATCATGGAAGTTGGGACCTTATCTAAAGAGGAAGCATGGATCCTTTTCAGGCAGAAATCTGGTAATTCAATTGATGATCCGTCTCTTCATGACATAGCAAAAGAGGTTGCCAAAGAATGCAAGGGGCTGCCGATTGCTATTGTTACAGTTGCAAGAGCACTAAAGTTTAACAGCAGGCCTTCATGGGAGGATGCCCTTTTAGAATTACAAAGATCTGCACCAATTAATATCCCGGGAATGATTGAAAATGTGTATCAACCTCTGAAGGTATGCTATAATCACTTAGAAAGTGATGAAGCCAAGTACCTCTTTTTGCTTTGTTCCTTCTTCAAGGAAGATAGTGATATCGTGCCTGAAAAATTACTTAGAAAAGGAATGGGGCTTGGCATCTTTTCAGAAATTGAAAGTATTGAACATGCAAGAAATAGGATGTGTCTTCTGTTAGAAACTTTGAAAGATCGTTTCTTGTTATCCCAAGGTTCAAACAGAAATTATGTCAAAATGCCTGATGTGGTCCGTGACGTGGCTATATATATTGCTTCTGAGTGCAAGCATATTTTTATGGTAAGTCACTTCTGAGATACTTCTCATTTTCTTTCAAGTAAATATTGTACTTACTAAGCTAGACATGTCTGTTCTTTTGCATTCTCTGTTTCCTGCAGGAACCAAAAACTAGTGATGGCAATGAAGCCGAATCTAGTGAGTGCAGAAGCTAGTATCTATGACTCTGAAGCTAGGAAGGTAATTAATAAGAAGTCGATGAAATAGTTCAAATGTGTAAGTTTGCTTGAACATCACCTGATACCTATTCCGATGGAGGTAACAGGCAGAGGCGGATCTATGATATTGTAACCTATGAGTTTATGTGAGCCCAGTAGTTTTTACCTAGAGACTATGTATACTAACTTGAGTTTATTGTAATATGTTGATGTATTTTCTCATGTCATCTTGTATTCTATTTTGTTTTGAAAGACTTTAAAGAATATCTTTTGGAGAAGCCTTTGAACTTAGATGATTCCTTTCAGAATCGAAAAATAAGTTGTGTTCGGATGGAATGTTTAGATGAATCCACTGTTTCCAGAAAACAAATAAATAAGACACTTCCTCATAATTGTTGTCTTCTTATATGCCAGGTATTAGTGAGAAAAGAAATTACTTCAAGGGATAATAACTATTGGGAGGGTGGGGGGGATTATTATTCAATTTTTCAGTGTATCATATCAAGTCGTAATGAAAAGTTACATATTATTGTAATATCTCGATGATGTAAGAAATGTGTACATTATCAGTGTGCATAATTTAGACTCTTTCAAAAACGTAATCCATTAAAGACTTATAATGTTTGAATATTTGTGTTGAGAATTCGAGTGTGTTTCAGGTATACAACTGACATTGGTGTTATGATGAGTGATGTTACGAAGGTGGAAGCGGAGGAACTAACTTCCTTCCGTAATTAGAAAAGCTCGAAGAATCCTCTATCAATAAGAAACATTCTGATTCCGGCAAGGTTACACTCAATCAAACAAATCATAAACCAGCTATATAGCATCTAGGATGCATGTGTTTTATGGTGCTTAACTTTTTGTTGATCTTTGATTCCCATGAAGATGAAAACCTTTTTTGGCAGAAGAACAACGTTAACGTGGATTTGGGAATCTGATGAAGTTTGGATTAGTATTCTTAGTTATCCCCTCCAGCAATAATAGAGGTGTTCAACCATTTGACCAGACTTGATAATTAAGTTATCAAATTTTATATAGAATATCAAAATACAAATAATTCCTTTTTCTGCTATTATTATAATTATGAAAATGTATATAGTTAGACTCACCAATATAATAAGAATTAAAATCAGAATTTGTTAAAATTTGAGGGATTAAAAGTACCAATTTCCCATCAAATATAGATGGGAAAATTGTATGATATAGTAAATTATTAATTCAAATTAAATGTTATAGCCATAATTTCTTTTATTTGTAATTCGCAACAAACATTCCATATTTTTTGCCATCCCATTTGTATACCGAAATATACAAATGCATGATCCATTTGTATATACAAATGCAGGACCCATTTGTATACCAAAATATACAAATTGACCCAAATACATATATTTTATGTATATGTATACCGAAATATACAGATTAATAGTCATAACAAACATAAAGTTTGTTATGGAGCGCAATTATACAAACTATAGCTATAACATACAAATATGATTTTTATGTTTGCTAAACCTAAAATTTACTCAATAAAGAAAGAACAAGAATGTATTTCCTATCATGACTCAATTTGGAAAAACGTGTAAATTAAAGTCCTTCAAAAACTATTTTATTTCCATAAATAATTCTTTTCCAAAACCAAAACTAATTCGGAAACCAAACCAAATAAAAAGAGATAAAATAATTTGTATATATTCCAAATTCGAATGAATTTAGGAAAACGAAAACAAAAACAATTATAAATAGAGAGGTCTCTTTACATCGGTAAAAGGCACAGCCAAACAAATACAATTGTATAGAAATTGTACAATTATTGTATAGAATATATAGGTATTTGTACCGGTAGTGTATAGAAATTGTATCATTGTTGTATAGAATATGTAGGTATTTGTATAGGTAGTCTATAGAAATTGTATCATTGTTGTATAGAATATGTATTTGTATTAGATGTGTATAGAATATATATTTGTATAGGATGTGTATAGAATATTTATTTGTATAGGATGTGTAAGAAATTATATAATTATTGTATATAATATGTATCTATTTGTATAGGTAGTGTATAGAAATTATATAATAGGCATATATAATATGTATTTGTATAGGAATATAGGATGTTTATAGATTATGTATTTGTATAGGATATGTATAGAATATGTATTTGTATAGGATGTTTATATAATATATTTATGGTTGTATAAGACTCTATTTAAGCAATCTTCAATTATCCACCATTTTGCTGTCACGAAGGTGTAGAATCTCCTATTGATATCAAGAATTTTATCAGAGAGGCCATCTGCTATATGAGCAGGAATTTGTATTGGTGGGAGCAAAGTTGTCCATTTCACATAGCAAAATATTGGAGAGGTTTTCTTGATGAATGACATTGGTATCACGATGAGTGATATTACTAGGGTGAAAGTGGAGGAACTGACTTCTTTTCGTAATCAGAAACTGTGTCATTGTTGTATAAAATATGTATTTGTAGAGGATGTGTATAGAATATGTATTTGTATAGGATAGGTTAGAAACTGTACAATTATTGTACATAATGTGTATAAAATCTGTATCATTGTTGTATACAATTATATTTGACAAGAGTGTATATGTATAAAGGATGTATTATTGATGTATAAAAATTGTAGATATACTGTATACATATTGTTTAAAAAGTGATTATAAAATATATGAAAAGTATACTCATAAAAGTATATTTAATGTATATTGTTTGTGTATATATATATATATATATATATATATATATATATATATATATATATATATATATATTGTATAAAGAATGTTTATATAATTGTTAATGTAGATATTTTATAATATTCCAAAGTTTTTTCTTTACTAAAAAATGAATAGCAAGAGGAAGTCAAGAATTTGATTTGAGAGGCCATCGGTTACTATTGATATATTGAGAATGAATTGATGAATGTGAACATGTCAATAAGAGACGATATGTTCTCAAATAAATTTATTAGTAGTTTTATTTTTCGAGTACTCATAGTTATAAGACAATGATTTCCGTTGTTACTAGTTTTGCTGCAACTTTGTTGGTTTAGTATGCAACACACATTTTATTGTAGATGTTTATTTCGTCTAAGGTGGGTATGAAGTCGTCGGAGTGCATTATCTTTAATGTCGGACTTTTCGACGCGAATTCAAATTTAATCTGACTTCAAAGTGGATACCGAACACCAGATGAAAAACCAAAAGAAAAATTGGTGAAACATATATATAAGCTCATTGTTCGTATTTCCATATTCATAAGTATGGTTTTTGTTTGGCCTCAAATATTTGTCTATTTTTAAAAATATGATTTATATCCATAAGTTTTAAAAATTATTAAAAATATCCATAAATTTATATTATCGTTTTATCGTTAAAAATAACCTTATAACATAATTGATGATAATCAACAAGAACAAAATAACAATATATGCAAGACAATGCACTAATCACACACTCAAACTTGTCACTAATTCAATTATAATTATAATTTATTGAACACAAATTGCTCTTTTTTCTCAATTTTATCACTCAAATTAGAACTCAAACTTTTTTGGAGGAGTTAGTAACAAATATTAGTTGGAATTAATAAATGGTGAGATTTTTATAAAATGTAAAAGTATCGGGTAACTTTTAAATTTTTTTAAAGGGAAAAGGGTCTGAAAAGTACTCCAACTTTGGCCGAAATTGTTGTTACGATACCAAACTTTATGGAGGACCTTTTAAGCCCCTACACTATTTATTAGTGTATTTTAAAGGTATATATGTACCCACGTGGACACATTACTATTTAAAATGATGCAATATTTATAATGTCCACATAGGCACATATATACTTTAAAATACACTATTAAATAGTACGGGGGGGGGGGGGGGGGAGGGGGGGGTTAAAGGTCCTTTCCAAAGTTTGGTATCGTAACAACAATTCGACCAATGTTGGAGTATTTTTCAAACCATTTTCCCTTTTTAAAAAATTTCCAAATATTAGAACTTGGCCCAAATACTAATTTTTTCTAGTATTTGAAAACTAGGGATACTTGCAAAATATATTTGTCAAGTTATATGACCAAACACCTCTTTCTAAGTTTTTCCCAAATTTTTCTCAAGTTTTTTTGGGGCCAAACGGGTCCTTACTTTAACTTATCTTCAATCGTGACTTGAACCCTCAATTAATGATAATTATGTTAACAAATTTTATATAGAATATCAAAATAAAAATAGTTCCATTTTCTACTATTGCTATAATTACGAAAATATATACAGTAAGACCCACAAATACAATAAGAATTAAAATTAGAATTTGTTAAAATTTGAGGGGCTAAAAGTACTAATTTCCCACCAAATAAGGATAGAACAAGAATCTATTTCCTAATTTGACTCAATTTGGGAAAACGTGTAAAGTCCTTCAGAAACTATTTTATTTCCATAAATAACTCTTTTTTTAAACCAAAACTAATTGGGAAACCAAACCAAATAAAAAAGAGATAAAAAGAATTTGTATATATTCCAAATTCGAATGAATTTAGGAAAACAAAAACAATTATAAATAGGGGGATCATTATATCGGAAACAGATACAGTTGTACAGTTACTGTATAGAAATATATATATATATATATATATATATATATATATCTGTTGTATAAAATACGTATTTGTATAGGAATATAGGATGTGTATAGATTATGTATTTGTATAGGAATATAGGATGTGTACAAATTATGTATTTGTATAGGATGTGCATAGATTATGTATTTGTATAGGATATGTATAGGTTATGTATTTGTATAGGATCTGTATATATTATGTATTTGTATAGGATGTGTATAGATTATGTATT